TATTAAAATCTTACGTAATTCATTATATTTTTATACTATAGAATTATATAAAAATCTTATAAAATCTATGAAATTCTATTCTAATTCATGAAATCTTAAGAAATTTATAATATGAGTTAAACACACTTGATAATCTTGCGGTTGTGCTACATATATATAATGATTTACATACACGTGATGTGGTGAAATATAATATGGTCAAATCTCTTCAATTAAATAAATAAATAAAAAGATACCCACAATCTCTTTTGATCACCTCATTTATATGTAAATCGTTATTTAATTCCATTATGTAAAAGTAGCAGTATGCCATCAAATACTACACAAAGAGAGATAATTCAGACCATATAATAAAGTAATATTGGTTCAAATTAAAAAAAAAAATTGCCTACCTGTATATGTTTTTATTATTTAGTGCGTAACAATAATGGTCGATTTTTCCAAAATCATCCTATGTATCTGATAGTTATCAACATGCATATACATCAAAATGAAATGAGCAAGGCTACCATTATGATTTGAAGTTTACAACAAATAATTATTCTCCTTGCTTTTCTTTTGTTTTGGAATTTAAAGTTTTGGCAGAAGTAGTGTAGATAGTAAACAAATTACTTGAAAAAGAATCATATTTTTATTTTTATTATTTTATTTTTAAGTTTAAAAATATGAATTTAAAATGAAAAATAAATAAAAATGCATTAGCATATTGGACCGGTAAATTGACGGTTTTGTTGCTCAAACCACAACCAAACCGACCCCGATTTTTTTATGGTTAAAATTAATCGAACCAACCCGAATTTTTGGTTCAAACCAACCTAACTCGATTTGGTTTGGTCGGTTTTCCATTTTTTTGCCCACCCCTGATTATTAAGCGTCAAAACTGAAACTCTCGCAAATTTTGGGGCTTAAGAATATTGCTTGATAATTGAAGTGGATGGAGTTTTCAATTTTGTAAGGTAAAATCAATGGTTGTCGCTGCCTCTGTCCCTTCAATGACAATGGAGAAATCCATGGTCGCCAACTCGCGAGGTCAACTAATAGGGGCGGATGGAGGGAGGGAGCGAAGCCTGCCTCGAAGCCCACTTAATTTTTTAGTTAAAAAATATTTTTACGAATTTTTTTTCTATCAGACTATTAGTCTAGTAAGTAATATATATATATATTGGCCTCATATTTGAAGTTGGCATAAGGGCTAATCCATTTGTACATAATGGTTTGTACGTAATGGATTACCATCTCTCACATAATGCGCGGGGCCCCTTGTATTTAAAAAATTTCGATAATGTGGTCCACATTCCCATTGTGAGTAATAGGTAAAAGATTCAGTAAAAAAGTTCGATACATGTATCATGATCTCCTCCAAATATACCAGGACCGGCCCTATCGAAAATCAGGGATGGTTTGTTGGGATGAAAGCACTTTTTTAGTGTTTTTGAAGTTTGGATTTCAGTTAATTTTGTGGAATACTGTTTGAAGGAAATAACGGTTTTATTTCGTTCGTAACCTTTGAGAAAAAAACAAACTCTTTAATGTGAAGTAATCTTCAATTAAAGGTATTAGAGGGGAGTTTTTTATTTTTTATTTTTTTTCTATTTTTCTATGATGCCAATATTTGTCAATTTCCAATCTTATAATTATGTCTATATGTAAATTGCCCTCGAATAGTGTTAAGTGTCACCATTGCTATGGGTGCTAGTGGGGCCGAGTCAATTCGTCTCAACCCATCTGACAAACCAGCTCAGTTCATGAATGGGGCGAGATAAACTCCTTTTCAAAAGTCTCATCTTTACTTGGCTTACCTCCACAATTTCATCCCTTGGCGTGTTGTAGCTTTTTTCCTCTTTTTTTATGTAAAAAAATGAAAATTACATTTCTACTCTCGAAGTATAATGAATAAAAGTTTTTGTATCTATAAAAATACAATTTAACAACGAATGAAAGAAACAAAATATACTTAAAATACTATCTTCTTAGTTTGCAATTGTAAAATTGAAAAGAAGTTGGAAGGTCACCTTCATCTTCTTGAAGTCACTGGCTCAGAAAAACATGTGCTTCTATTTCGATTGTAATACTGCTCAAGTCATGTGGTGGATCTCGTTCCAACATACGATTTCTCATTATAGACTTTGTCTATGAGCGCTGATAAAGTCGAGGTGTTGTGAATAAGTCATGAACTTTAATGAATAATACTGGGTACTAATACCGTTGTGCATTTTACTAATGGTGTAAATTAAATAAATGGGCCCCTACTATTTTATTGCACTGGTTGGTGCTCTAAACATTTGAGTTACATTTCGAACACAGATAAAGTTAAATCTGTATAGTTTGAACACTGAGTACGAATTACAAAATTCTATAATTCTTTCTTGTAGAAGAATATATTTGTTTTAAATATAAAATTTAAATTATTTTGAAATAACTAAAAGTAATACTCGGCATTCTATAATTTGAGATGGGGATCGAACACTGTAGCTAGAAAAAATAATTAGTATACGCTGAAAAAATATTTTTTAAAGTATTTTCCATTATGACACGAGGGATAACAGAGAACTTTTACTCCTGCATTGTAAGAAAGCTAAACAAATATTTATTAATGAGGGTAAAATAGAATTTAAATTGAGAAAACAAGATTCACATTTCATAAAAGACGAAAATATGTTTAACAAATCTATAAAATAAATTGTATATANNNAAATCTATAAAATAAATTGTATATATTACAATCATCATCAGTCAAAATAATTTCATTTTGAAATTGATGACAAAAGTAGATCAAATTAGAATATTGTGAAGAAGAATGTGCAATAATTTGTGCAACGCGATCCTTATTGCAGAGCTAGAATAATTTTTTGGGCGGGCAAAAATTATATAGCAAATATAATTATAATTATTTCCCACGTGTTTTTATATTTTGAAAATGTTGTATAATTACTTCATTGTCAATTTCGTTAACTATATTTTTCTCGACTGACAAAATATTACTTTATTCCATTACTAAATCCTTTCAAGAAATTGCTAACTAAAATCTTCCAAAAAATACCTGGAGATTGCACACTAAATTGAGATGAAAATTGAATTCCTAATCCCCTTAATTACCGGTATCTGAATTCTAAACTTTTTCTGAACAAAGAGTTAGAGAAATGAACCAAATACACGCAGATTTAACTTAAAAATGCAATGAGGAAGTTCTAAAACTTAAAATCATTTCAATATTTTGTTCTGTATTTTTGAATTGATGGAAGACATATAGACATTAAGGAAAAAAAAATATGACTTTAGGCAAAAGGTTTAGCTTTAATGAAGCCATAACTTTTTGTCCCAATTACAATGACATTACTTGATTAAATAGAAACCAGCAAATCTTATTTGATAAAACACATGTCCTGCTTTGAGATAGCCCAACGACGATAGTCTTCAGCTTTTCAAGATTGAGGCTAAAATCGAGTTGTCTTAATAAACTTATTCAAAAAAATTTTGATTTCCCCTATGGTCTCTATATTTATTCAAGAAAATAAATACAAATACACACACAATAAGCATCTAATATTTTACTTCGAGAATTGAAGTACTTAAACCTAAATTTCCAACAACAAATAACTGTGAAAACAATAAGATATTTTAAAAGTACAAAAAATGGTAGAAAGGATGAACCTTTTAATTTCCATTTTTTTTTTTAATAAATTGAAAAAAAAAATCAGGTGGTCAATAGACCGCTCTTTATAAGAGTCAAATTATCATAACCAATACATAATACTACTTAATATCTGTATTGATTACCTTCGATAGCGTACTTACAATCAAAGGCTAAAGATCACTTTCTTTCATCTTAAAGAACGCCGAAGCACGACTGAACTTTTCGAATCTTTTGGAAGTTTGACAAAAAATTGAATAAATTATCTGCGGCAAAAAAAGAAGAAGCGGAGTGAGCTAGCCATCACATAAATTGCGTAGTATAATAATGCAATATAAAATGTAGAAGTTGTGATTGGATAGTGAAAGCTCTTTTCGAAG